AGCAGAGGATATCTGCACAGAGATCAGGATCACTGCCCCAGCTGGGTTAACACATGGGGACAGAATACAAACTGCTGTCACATCCTGTATTGCAGCCTAAGACATCTCCTTTCTCCCTTCCCTCCAGAGATCCGTGAGGCTTTCCGAGTGCTGGACCGGGATGGGAATGGCTTCATCTCCAAGCAGGAGCTGGGCATGGCCATGCGCTCCCTGGGCTACATGCCCAGTGAGGTGGAGCTGGCCATCATCATGCAGCGCCTGGACATGGATGGTGAGTCCTCCCCGGGGTCTGCTCTGTCCTGGGGCTTCACAGGGGCTTTCCCAGTGCTTGGATCCAGATCCAACAATTCCTGGTCACCATGGGAAGGGTGGAGGGGGAGCTGGGGAACTTTGCTTTCCCCACACAAAAGGAAAGAGCAAGGGCAGATGTGAAGCTGCTGTGGGTAATCCTGGGGATCAGGCAATCCATGGGAGGGGATGGATCATCCCCTGTGGGATACAGCTGGGTGAAGACAGATCAGCTCTCACAAAGTTCACAAATCCCAACAATCCCACCCTGGGCATCCCTGGCAGCTCCTGGAGCTCTGGCAGCCTTGGGGCTGTGCCCATTCCCTGGGGAGCCTGGGAAGTGCCCAGCACCCTCTGGGGAAGAACCTTTCCCTAAAACAGAACCTAAACTCCCCTGGCACAGCTCCAGCTGTCCCCTGGGTCCTGTCCCTGTCACACAGAGCAGAAATGGGAGCTGCCCCTCATGGGGAGCTGAGTCTCCCCTGATATGAGTGGAGAGGGGCTGTCCCAGCCTGGAGGGGGACATTCCACAGGTGAAAAACAAACCAAAGTCAGATGTCAGAAGCTGAGCCAGGCTGAAGGTGATGGAAGCAATTCCTTTGATGCCATCACCATCATGGAATATCCTGGGTTGGAAAGAACCCCCAGGATCCTCCAGTCCAGCTCCTGGCCCGGCCCAGACATCCCAAGAACCCCCACCCTGCACAGATAATCTTTGCCAGGCTCTGTGAACCTTTCCCTCTGTCCCGGGCAGCCCCTGGCCGGTGACACTTGCTGGGAGAGGAGCGGGATTCCCACCCAGCAGAGCTGCCCAGTCCCGGGCGGGATCTGCTGTGCTGGGAGCTGCTCTAATGAGGTGTTGATTGCTCTGCGGGGAGAAGTTTTGAGGGGTGGAATGTTTCCCAGCCAAGTCCTGCTGGGAGAGCTCATCAAACAATTACTGAGGGAATAAAAGCAACAGAACTCGCATTAGTGGGGAGAGGGAAATGCAGGATCGGGATGCTGGAGCCAGGGAGGAATTTCATCTGCTGCAGAGCTCAGAGCTGAGCACAATGAACAATTCCTTTAAAATGTCCTCGGCAGGGCAGGAGGGGAGACCTTCCTGCTGCCAGGAGCGTGGGGGAAGCTGGGGGGCAGATCCAGCCTTGTGTCGGGGTTGTGGCAGGGTGGAAATACTGAAATGCTGCCAGAGCAGAGTCTGAGGGCTGCAGGGATCCAGGGGGGCCAGGGAGATGCTGGAATTCTTGGGGAGACTGGAGAGCAGAGCCCGGGGAGATGGGGCAGTGAAGCTCTCCTGCCCCTGGGAGATGTCCCTGGGAGAGGCACAATTGTCACCAGGGCAGGGCAGGGCTGTCACCTGCCGAGGGTGTCCAGCAGAGAAGAGGCTGCAAAACCTGGCAGGGAGAGGAGATCCACTGTAGGAATGATCTCATTCCATAAAGAAAAGGGGGAAAAGGAATCCATAACTTTTAAAAGGGGGGAAAGGAATCCATCACTTTTAAAAGGGTTTTGTCCAAAAGTTGTTGTTAGCCCTTTGCCCTGCTGTGCTGGCCTTTCCTGGCAGAGACAGACTCGGGCTCAGGTTTGGCAAAGCCAGGCTTGGTGTGCTGCCAACTCCTGGGGTCTTTTCCCGAAATTCTGAGCTTTTTTGGAAAAAGACTGCTGGGACTTGGCTCCCAGTTCTGATTCATCTCCAGTCGTTCCCTGACTCTGGCAGACTTTGGCACGGCTCTGTGCAGACTGCTGGTCTGGAGGGACCTGAGGTGGGGAGTGCAGTTAAACCTGGAGGGATGGAAGTGATAAATTCCTGCTGAGGCTTTCCAGGGAGCTCTGTGTGCTTTCTGCAGGGATGGGAGCTGATCCTCCAGCTCCAAACTGGTTGTACTGGTGCAGTGTTGGAGCAGGGGGTTGGGGGCTGGAGGGAGGCTGTGGCAGGGGAAGGACAAGTGGGCCATGGATTTAAAAAAAGTCAGGGAATGGGAAATTCCTGAGGCACTGAGCAAAGAGAGGAATGTTCTGTGAAAGATTTACCTTGCCTGCAAATTGAATTAGTGTTGTACAGCTTGAATTTATATTATTAGGGCTACTTTTTTCTCCAATGGATTCTTCACCTTTTTCTGGGATTTAACTTGAACTATGGAGTGAGAACCAGCAACATCCTCCTCCTTCCTCTCTCACTGGGAAAGGACATCATTCAAGAGCAGGGCAGGAATGTTGGTTATGCCCAGTGCTCCCAGGAACAGCCTGATCACCTTCCCATATATCCCTGGGGAGGGTTGCTGAGTGTTTCCAGGTTTTTGTTTGGCATTAGATGGGTTGGAAGCTCAGATGGATGAAAGGTCACACTCAGAGAGGAGCCACCAGTGGTCAGGAGAGCCGGGGGGGAGGTGAAATCCTCTGCACATCTCTGGCCCGTGCCATGAGTTATGGTGTGCTGGCAGCTGGAGCAGCCAGACATCCATTTCTTCCTTCCCATCAAAACTGCTGCCAGGGCCTGAAAATGAGGTAAGAAAATTGGCAGGGCTTGGGATTTAACCTGAGCCAGCCTGAGCAGCCCCAACATCCAGTTCTCATCAGCAAATTCCAGGGTGGCAGAGGGGCTTCACATCTGGCATGGCTGATTTCACTGAGGGTCACAAAAGCCAGCAGCTGGGGCTGGGCTGGGCTGGGCTGGGCTGGGCTGGGCTGGGCTGGGCTGGGCTGGATTTCCCTGTTTTCTGTAGCATGGGGATGGAGGCAGCAGGATTGCCAGGCTGGACATGGGGATCTCAGAGGAGAATCTGCAGCCCGTGCTGGGGCTGAGCAGAAAGGGACATGACAAGAGCATTTCACAGCTGGGTGCCACCTCCTGCCACCCAGCCAGCACCGGGAGTGGCACCGGGAATGAATGGCACAGGGAGTGACACAGGGAATTAATGGCAAAGGGAGTGGCACAGGAGGGGCACAGGGAATGAATGGCACAGGGACACTGCTTCCAGGGCCACCGTGTGCAGCTGCTCAGTGCCACTCTCGGAGCTCCCAGGGGAGCAGCATGGAAGGGATGCTCCATAATTCATCACTTTTGGAGGAGAAGTGGGGTTAGGGAGAGAACACTGCTGGCACCTGAGCAAAACCAGCCCTGGCACAGCTGGGATTTGGGCCAGGAGCCATTCCCAGGCTGCCAGCACCTCCCTGCACAGGAACATGTCACCAGCCATCCTGCAGAGGGGACAGGCCAGCAGAGGGATGTGTCACCAGCCTGGCACTGCCTGGGTGCCCAGGAGTGCAGGCAGTGCCTCTGCCCTCACACCCTCTGCATGCCCTGATTTCCTGGGAATGTCCCATTCCCCCACTCCTCCCTGGAGGCAGGAGAGCAGCAGGGCTGGGGATCCCCTGTATCCCTAGAAATCCTTCTCCAGCTCTTCTTCCAAAGCTTTGCTGGAGCTTGGGCAGCGCTCCAGGCCTGGGCTGGGGGTGTTGGGGTGTCTGTGCAGGGCAGGAGTTGGATTCCCTGATCCCTGTGGGTCCCTCCCAACTCCAGGTATTCCAGGATTCCAGGATTCTGCCAGGTGTGCTTCACCCAGGTGAAGAAACGTGGCTGCCACAGGAAAAATCATACAGCTGGCATGAAACCCCCTCAGTTATGGGAAATGGGAATCTCCTTGGAATATTTTCCAGAGAAATCCTAATAAATCCTCAGAACCCGCCTTTTGTGGACTCCGGGAGATGTTGTGGCACTGCTGGGATGGGAAGTGCCAGAACAGGACACAAGGAAAAGGGATTTGCTGGGAAAAATATGTTTCTCTTTAGGAAGGGAGGTGAGGGCTGGGGGTTCAGAGATTCCCATTATCCCAAAGCTTTGTTTGGAAGTGTAGGACTGTTCCCACAGGGGTTGTTGGTGGACCTGGGCACCCCTCTGGGGGCTGTGCCTCGTAGGGAGCCAATATTTTGGTCTGGAAGTACTCCCAGAGGTCAAATCTGACATTTATCCCATGGATTCCCTAATTTTCAGCCATAATTCTGCATTCCATGGACACAAACTGTGAGAGGGGCCCGTGCTTCTCTCTGTAGTCTGGGGAATGACCTGGAATGTTCTTCCAGCACAGGGAAAGGGATATATTTTATACATTTCTGTACTGCAAAAAGGAATTATTTGTAAATTCTTCCAACTGGCAGCAATGCTGATAGAAACGCTGGGAAATGGCACATGGAATGTGTGGCCTTATCTGGGATTCCTCCCCTTTAAGCAGGATTTGCCATAAAAGAGATGAATGTGTGACTTAAGTGTCACAAATTGTTTAATTGGGATTTTTATCTGAGGAATAAAATGAGCACTTGGTGCACTAATTAGAGGAGCAGCTGGAAAAATAACTCCAGGCTACCACAAGAGGGGGGGAAATCCACCCCTGGATGCCAAATTATTTATTGGGATGAGAATTGGGAATATTTTGATGATGCAAAAGTCGAGCTGGTTTCACCAGGGACCTGCCTGGTACCTCTGGGACATCCTTGGGAGCAAGGAAAAATGGGGGAATCTCAACTTTAAATTCTGGAAGAGTCATGGAATCATTGAGGTTGGAAAAGATCTCTGAGGTCATTGAGTCCAAGGCCACCACTGCCCCGTGTCCCCAAGTGCCACATGCACAGAGCTGTTAAACCCTGCCTGACCAGCCTTTCCATGGAGAAATGTTCCCAATATCCAACCTCAACTTTCCTGGCTGTTCCCAGAACAACCTGAGGCTGTTCTGGATGTTCACCCAAGCAGAAGTGGCACTTGGTGGCCATGGGGCCACTTGATCCAAGGTTGGACCTGATGACCTTGGAGGTCTTTTCCAACCTCAGTGATTCCAGGACTCTTCCAGAACTTCAAACTGAGATTTCCCTCCCAGTTTTTCATTGCTCCCGAGGATGTCACCTCTCCAATTTTGGCACTACAGGTGACACATCCCAGAATGTCCCAGATTCTCTTTGGAAAGGGAAGAGGTGACAGTGCCATGGCTGTGT